AAGTGTCAAAATCACCTAAATGACTATAATAATTATTTTACCTGGGATTCTTATTAAAATTTTGATTACATAAGTGGAAAGTAGGACCTGGGAAACAGGTTTTGAAAACACTTCCCAATTAATTCTGATACTAGCTGTCATCCTGTCCTAACTAAAGTCTTAGAAGTATTCCTCTTTCAGCTCTTACTTGGTTAGTGTAAATAAAGTTAATTCAAAAAGGTTTATATGAAGTGCCACATCAAGTAATTGTTAAACTTTCCAAGGATCATCTAAAATGTAACAAGGCTCCATGTTTACAAAATAAATGAATTAACAACAAACAAAAGAATAAAAGTATACTGGTATATACAAAACTAGGGTACTTTTTATGTACATTTTGTCACCCTAAAGTAACATATTACATAATTTATCTCCTCTATAATTATAGATTTTAAGGGAAAAAAAAATACTACCCAAGTTCTTGCCTCCGATCCAACTACCTCTAATCTGTGCTGCATTCCAGTACCAGATAGATCTTCTTCTAACACCATTTTCATCATATCCATGCTCCTGAGCTGTGCACTCACGGTCCCTTATAAATTGGCCTCAATGCTCTGGTGGTAATCCTGATTCTCATTACTTCTCAGCAAAGAACCACTAAACTTTAATTATACAGTCCGTTTGATCTTCAAAGCCATTTCATAAACATTATTTGATTTTCACAACAACCCTTTACATGGAGCATTTTGCTAAAGGAAGAAACTCAGAAACAAAATGATGGAAGATCATAGGGTGGCAGAGATGGAATTAAAACACAGATCTTCCAGTTCCAAGACCACCACTCTTTGCATTCCAATCAAGCCAGTCTCTCCAAAACACTGTGGCCCCTCCTCTATGACTTTGATCTCTAGCTGAGATGTTCTCTCCATCTATCCAAATCTTACCAGTCCTCCAAGATGTCCATTTCAATGAAGTCTTAGGCAACATTCTACTCTAAATAAACCTCTCAAATGAACTTCCCCAACCTTAATAACGTGCACTGTTCGTTTTGTCCCCTAATCCAATGGGCTGCTTCTTAAATCTTTGACCTGGACACGTGTTATTTGTCTATATGGAATCTAAAGTTCTAGGAGAAAGAAATGGTTTTGGGCATCACCTCTGAATTGCCTAAAGCATCTAATACAGTGTTAGTACATATAGAAATACTTCTCAAGAAATAGTGCTTGCTTTGAAACAGAAAAAGAGCATAGTACCTGGGACATAAAAGATGATATGAGGTACAAAGGTAGGTACACCTAAGAATGAAGCAAAAAGGTTCCGGTGAAAAACAAAAAGGTAAAGAAAGAAGAAGTCTCCTGTAGTGAAGACAGCACTAGCAAATGTGGTTTGAGGACTGCAGCAGCCCGGACTCCAAAGAAAAACTTGAAAGACTAAATGTAACTACTTCAGGGAGAGGACAGTAGGGTTCACTTCAAAGCTGTGGAAAGGGCTGCAATAAATCTTTAGCAGCTATAAAGGGCATCAAATAAGTCTAGAGAAAAGAGTGGCGAGTACCCTCGCTATAAAACATCAATAAATCTATTAAGCTTTTCAGGTGAGTCTTCAGATGAGAGTCAGCTTCTCAGCCAAATTACTCTTTGCAGGAGTCCACACAAAATTTAAATCAAGGCTGGGTCTTGCCGGTTCGCATACTAATCCAGTTCCCTTTCCTTCCCAGTCTTCCCATGCCTGCTCGATTCCATTAAAAATGGAAGCGTTTGGAAAACTTTGTCAGCAGATCCTAAATACGGCTTTCAAGTTCGGCGTAGATCTGACCTACCCTAGGTTCACTGAATCGGTGAGATGACAGATCCTGCTTTTCCTACTAACCACCACATGGACGCGACAGCAAACCCAACCCCACCCTGTAGGGTGCTCCCGGCCGCGCGGCGCCCGCCACACCTCCCGTTCCCTTCCAACTGCTCTGAACCCAAGGGGGAACCTTCGGGTCCGGGGTCGATCAGGGCGCCAGCACCGACAACTCATTGGCCAGCTCCTGGCACTGACAGGACATGAAGCCAATGAGGACGCGGTACCGGGCCGCGGCCGGGCAACGTGCTTAAGGAAGAGGAGCCTTCGGGAAGAGACCTGCCTTCCAGGTCAAGGCAGGAAATTCGGGCTCTCGAAACGCAGGAAGTCATGCGAGCGGAGCCTGCGAGTCAGTGGGAACAGAACTCACCCACGGCGACAGCGCCCATAACTGCATCCCCTAATGAGCCTGTGGGCTGGGCAGCCAGCTCCGTCTTCCTCCCGGTGACGGATAGAGAGCGACAGAGCCGAAGCCAGACTGACCCCTAGAAAGCAACAACTTCCGGTACGCGGCATTATGGGTGGTGGCTTAGCCCCAGGGGCCTGCGGCGCTGACGCTATTGCAGTGGCGCTTTCGCGCGGTTCCCTCCGGAAGTTCAGATACCGCCGCCTGAAGAGCCTGGCTGTCAGTTTTCCCCACTCTGGTGTAATTATGGGGTTGTTTAAATGTTTCGGAAGCATGAGTACCTGGTGGTGGTCAGAGTATTGGAATCTCCTGGATGGGTTACGTTATTCACATTACATCTAAATTCTGGCTAGGAGGGTAAAATTTACATTTCACGCAGTTCCCCTAATTGTGCCCAATCGCCTTCTAAACGTTGAGTACGTAAATTGTCTTGAACTAACCTTGCCCACGGAAGGTAAAATTTTCAGACATTTACTGTGTGTCCGTTAAAAATATGTAAGGGCCGAGTCCCCTGTGAAGTGAATTAAATGAACATAGGCTCGCTACCCTAGGGTTTAGTCTTCTACAGAAGACACAAGAGCAGCTTGGGGGAAAAAAAAAAGATGCAAGCGCCAGTAGAAACATAGGCAAGGGATATGAACAGGTAATTCACAATAAAAAGACAAGTGGTCATAAGAGAGAGGAAGAAATGTTCCTCCCTTATTAGTAATCAGATAAAAGTAGATTAAGTGGCATCCTAACCGTTCAAACTGGCCAGAGTAACAAGGGTTACATTTAACTCTTTTGCTCTTTACTGCTGATAGAATTTTTTAAGCTTTCTTCACTCAGCACACAGGCATTTTTTTTTCTATTCTAAAACGCAGCCTTAGGGACATTGTACCACTTGCTTCCTCTGCCTAGAATGCTGCTCCCCATGATCTTCTGTGGTTGCTACTTTATTGTAATTCTGTTCACACCTTAAAAGTTACCCTCTCACAAAGAAATTGGCTGGGCAATCTAGCTTATATAGCCACCTGATCATTCACGTCACTTTATTTTTTGTCACTACCCCGCAATTATCACTATCTAATATTTTTCCTTCATATTTACCTATATATTTCTTCCCCACCCCCCCAGCCCCCATACATACACAGAAACATGCAGATGTAAGCTCTTTGAGAGGTGGGACATCTTTGTCTTGGTCGTGGCTATCTCTAGTACCCAGAAGTGTCCAGAACATAGTAAATGCTCAATACTTACTGAAGGATAGTCATTAGAAATGAAAAATTTTGCAAGAATGTTCATAGTAGCCTTACTCATTTTAGCCAGAAACTAGAAACCCACATTTTGAACAAAAGAATAGGAAAACTGTGGTTTAGTCATAAAATGGGATTCTAAGCAATAAAAAGAAACTGTAAGGCACAAGAACATGGATGAATCTTTAAAATATTATAGTGAAAGAAGACATACAAAAGTACCTACTATGTAATTCTATGCATATGAACAGGCAAAACTAATGATGGCAGGAAAAAATCAGAACAGTGGTTGCCTCTTGGGGGGTTCAGGTGGGGACTAAGAAGCATGAAGGAACTTTCTAAGATGCTAGTGATGTTCTATATCTTAATAGGATTTGAGCTACACAGGTGTATACATTTGTCAAAACTCAGCAAATGTACATTTAAGATGTGCATTTCATTTTTACCTCAAAATAAAAAATCAAACATTTAATCTTAATGCTATGCATGCTGAAGTACTTAGGGAGAAGTATGCTAAGGTCTGCAATTGCTTTGAAATGCATTAAAACAGATGGATTGATGAATGGATTAGATATATGACAAAGTTGGTAGAATAAAATGTTACGATAGTGTCTAGAATCATGATAGCACCAGTTTCTTAACCTCAGCACTATGGACAGTTTAAACCAGCAAATTCTTTGTTGTAGATGGATGTCTTCAGCACTGTAGAAAGTTGAGCAGCATCCCTAGACCCTATCCATTAGATGCCAGAAGTACCCTTCCAGTTGTGACAACTCAAAATGTCTTCAGATATTACCAAATGTCCCCTGAGGAGCAAAATCACCCCCTTCTTTTCTTCTTCCCTGAGGGTCACTCCACTACTTCACTGTAAAATTTTCTCAACTTTACTGCATGCTTCAAATCTCTCATAAAAATTGGAAAAAAAGGGGCACCTGGGTGGCTCAGTCGTTAAGCATCTGCCTTTGGCTCGGGTCATGATCCCAGGGTCCTGGGCTCCAGCCCCACATCGGGCTCCCTGCTCAGCGGGGAGCCTGCTTCTCCCTCTGCCTGCCGCTCCCCCAGCTTGTGCTCTCTTTCTCTCTCAAATAAATAAAATCTTTAAAAAAAAGTTGGAGAAAAAACAGATTAAAAACATTGAAAAAATGCCCACAAAGCACCAAGTCAAAGATGCAGCTATGAAAACGTATGTACTAATCTTATTTTCATTAAAAAAGTTTCAAGTTATTGATACATTATACCAATGAATATGTTCACAAAAAAATCCTGAGATTTCTAAAATGAATATGTAACATAAAGAAAAAAGGCATTACCTATATTTAGATTGTGAAGAAAAAATCTAAATTACTCTCATGGTGGAGTCGCCTTCAAACTGTCCTTTTATTATCAGTGACAAATTTTATGCAATAACACAAACTGAAGCCCCTAAAGTCGCCACGACCACCACCCAGGCTCACCTCTCCCTAATGCCTTGCTATTTAGGGGCCAGAAGCATCCCTCTTGTGTGGGAAGATATCAGAAACCCAGAATAGGGAACCCCACTCTGACCTATTGAATCCCAAGCTACACATAATCGAACGATTCCTACACATGTTTGAATCTGAGGAGCGTTACTTTAATGGACCATTCCTTGGCCCAGGGAACAGTGCCGTCTAATACTTCTCCGTGACCCTGGCAGCAGCTGGGAAATGCCAATAGGGTGGAATTTGTACTTTGCGACTGAGAAGCCCATAGCATTGCCAAGAATTCCAGCCGCTGAGCACCTGCCAGGACCAAACAGCCAGGACCAATGGGCTTCCGGGGCCTTTGGCCCCGCGCGCGCGCATGCGCCAAACGGAGAGGGCGTTGTCTTCCCCTAGGCCGCCTCGCTGGAGTGGTTTGTAGGCTTCGGATTGTCTAGCACTGGAATTCAGAGGCTCCCTCTGGATGAGACTTGAGCTGTCCGTGCAGCCAGAAAATCCATGGTTTCAGCACTGAGGGGGTCCGTGGCTCCAGGTGAGTCTTCAGTCTACCGCCGCCCAAGCGAAACGGGAATCTCCCGTGTGGCAGAGGCCCGTTTCCGACTCCGGGAACTTGGCGACGTCGTGGCCCCGCCTTCCCGCGCGCTACGCACTGCTCATTGGTTAGAGCCGGCTGTTCTGACCCCGCCCGCAGTCGGGACCCTCCCTTCCCACATTCACCACCATCCCCAGGCCCAGGCAGCTGTTAGGGGCGACGGCGCCTGCGCACAAGGTTTCTTCTGCAACTTGCTGGGTGTCAGGGCTTGTGCCGCCTGGACCCGCTCTCCTCTGTAAAATAAAAATCTGCGAGGAAAAAAGAATGGTTCCGCTTAGGAAACTCCGTTTTCATTCTACGTTCGTACAGAATTCACTGAAATCTTGAGTCCGAAAATTCTTTTCAAGGGTTTGGGTCTTTTTGCATTGAAATCTTATCTACGAAAATAATTGGACAAGTAAATAATATACCTGTAACATCACTCCCATGGTTGTTCGCACACGGGTTGCTTGGCCCCAAACTTCTTTGCTGGCTCTATTTCATCTTCCAGACCTCCGAACTCAGTAGGACTTTCTCCCAACTTCACTCACTCAGTAAGTGACAAAACAAACATGCCTTTAAATATATGTTGGTTACTCCCAAAATTACATCTCCAGCCGGATACCTCATAAACTGCATAATTGTACATCCAGCTGTCTCCTGAACATCTCTATTTTTTTTTAAAGATTTTATTTATTTATTTGAGACAGAATGAGAGAGAGCGAGCACATGAGGGGGGGAGGGTCAGAGGGAGAAGCAGACTCCCTGCCGAGCAGGGAGCCCGATGCGGGACTCGATCCAGGGACTCCAGGATCATGACCTGAGCCGAAGGCAGCCGCTTAACCAACTGAGCCACCCAGGCGCCCTGAACATCTCTATTGACTAGGTGTCTTAATAGGCAGTTCATTACAGTGTATTTCTAAAACCAGGCTTCGAGTGTCCACCATCTTCCCTACCTAAATGCCAAATCCATCCTTCCTGTCTCTTAATGCCTTGGATTCATTCTTACATATCACATATAATTTGTCAGTAAATCCTGTTGGTTCTACTCTTTCTATATGTCCAGAACTCGAAAGTTGCTCACCACCTGGACTACACATCCTAATCCAAGCCACTGTCATCTCTCGCCAAGTCATTGTAGTACCTCCCTGGTCTTTCACCTTTCATCCTCATTCCCCTGCACATTTCACAGCATCAGAATTGGGCCTCTCCATAAGTAAGTCAAACCCCTGCAATGGCCTTCCATATCAGACAGAATAAAATCCGAAGTCCTGGCCATGCCCTCTGAGTCCTAACGTAAACTGCCCCACATTTCCTCTCTAATTTTGTCTCCTAAAATCTTGCTCCAGGCTTAGCTCCAATACCAGGTCTAGCACTTCCCTTCCACAAGACCTTTGAATTTGCTGTTCTTCTTGCCTAGAAAACGCATTTTTTGTTGTGATTTTTGAGATTTTTTTTGGTGATTTTTTCATTGTTATAGTCTTAGTGCCAAGGACAATGCTTGACACACAATAGGTGCTCAAGACACATTTGTGGATGAATGACAAATAACAACAGCAACCACTTTTGTAGTACTTACTCTGTTGCCAGGCACTGTTTGAAGCACCTTCCACACATCATTTAATCCTCACAGCAACCCTATCATTCCCATTTTGGAGATGGGGAGACTGAGGCACAGAGAAAGTAAGCCACCTGCCTAAGGTCACACAGTTTTTAAGTGCATGTTGGCAGTCTAAGTAGCAGAGCACATATTTAAACCACTATGATAAAAATACAAAATAAATTCACTTCCTCTAATGGGCGCCTGGGTGGCTCAGTTGGTTAAGCGACTGCCTTCAGCTCAGGTCATGATCCTGGAGTCCCTGGATCGAGTCCCGCATTGGGCTCCCTGCTTGGCAGGGGGTCTGCTTCTCCCTCTGACCCTCCCCCCTCTCATGCTCTCTATCTCATTCTCTCTCTCAAATAAATAAATAAAAAATCTTTAAAAAAAAAATTTCACTTCCTCTAATAACCATCTAATAATATCTAATAACCTCAACTTTAAAAAAAGACTAGAAAAGATATTCATGGAATTCCAATGAGTTCAGGGATTTTGAATACTTACATGAATATTTTGTTTAATAACAGTAAATGCATAAGTTAGGGTGTCAAATGAAAAGAGGATATAAAATTATATGAAGTGACTGGTTAGTAAAGAAAACATAGATACACACTCCACTTTGAAATTCTGAAGAGACTGCTTAATGAAGGGACTGTTTACAGAGGTGTGGCCAGGCATTACTGCCTCTAGGCCTAGGACGATTTCCTGGAGCTGAGGAAGAAGGGCTGCCCACAAAAGCTGTGGTCTTAGGGGGTCATGGCCATTGTCAGAATCCCACCAAAAACAGGAAGCCAGTGGTGAAGAAACACCCTGGCTTCTTTCTCCTCCCATCCTCCCCCTTCCTGCCAGAGCATTAGCTGAAACTAACCACAAGAAAGAAGAGTGGGGTGTTATAGGCTGTGGAGGTCAGTTTTTCAGTCTAGAGCAGGGAAAAGAAGGACCAAGAATGTGTTTAGGGGACAAAGAAGAAGTAACTAGCAGAAAATGGTCCAAATAATGAGCCCCTGAATTAGGCCTTTGTAGTCAAGTTTGTGAGGAAGGGACAGGCTCAGGGCTATACTGTTTTTCTTGTGCTTTCCTGCCTTACAGACCTTTCTTCTCTCCCCACTATGCTTCCTTCTCCACTTTTCTAAGTCTTAGCCTATCTTTAAGGCTCAAGTCAGGGTCACCTGGCTGGCTCAGTCGGAAAAGCATGCAACTCTTGATCTCAGGGTCGTGAGTTTGAGCCCCACGTTGGGTGTAGAGATTACTTAAATAAATAAAACTTAAAAAAAAAAAAATTGGAGAAAAGGTTCAACTAGACCCTGTCTCCTTCCTTAAATCTTTCCTGATAGCCCATTTCATTGATCATGTACTCCTCTTAAACCCCACAATAATGCCTATACTAGTCATTTAACACTTAGCCTTTTTTATCTGCATTGTTCTGTATCTTACTAGATAATATGTACTGATCCTCAAACTAAATAGAAAGCTCTGGAATGGAATGAAGGATGAAGCTCTAAATAGAGTATTTACTCAATAAACATTTACCCAAAGATGAGAAGGAATTCCATGAAGACGCCATTAACCAAGATAATGGTGTTTGATTTCACAGAGTAAATTCTCTTTGAGAAGGTAAGCCATATTTCCTTTGGAGCAATGGGACTGAGTTCTGTTTTTCTTTTCAGATGTGTAACTCCTTTTTTCTGAATTCAGAAGCACTATATACTAATCCTAAAACTTCAAACAATATAGAAGCATACAAATTAGTCCTTCCCTTCTTCCTTCTACCCACATCTAACAAACTAATTTGGTGAATTCTCTTTCTGACTTTTTTCATGTATGTATAATGATATAACAATGAATAATATGATCATACCTATTTATATTCTACAATCTACTTTTTTAGGTAACTGTTGTATTATGAATATCAGTGTTTATATATATATTTTGATGATCTCATAATATTCTGTTTAGATATATATTTATTTAACTAATCTATTGTTGAACATTTAGGTCATGTCTGATTTTTTTATTACAGATAATAAGCAGTGAACATCCTTATAAACACCTTTTTTATATACTGTCTGATTTTTTCCTTAGATCAGCTTCATAGAATTAGATCAGCTTTCCTTATACCAACTTTTTCTTCTATAACAATTACCAGATGTTAACCATCTTGTGTGTGTGTGTGTGTATGTGTGTGTTTGCACATGCATACTAATTCAGTAAGTTAAAAATATTGTGTAGGGGGGACTTCCACTTTTGGAACAACAGAGTAGATGTGTTTTTCCTAATTTGTCCAGCTAAGTACAACTAAGGATCCTGGACACTATTTATAAAACAAACACAAAAGACTCTGAAAAGTGAAAGGGAATGCAGACCAACTAGGGACCTTGGGACCCAAGAAAGGACACAGTGGTGACTTTCTTGGTTATTCTTTTTTGCCTCAAATATCTGAGATTTGATTAAAGAAGCAGCAACCCAGAAATACCAAAGGTACAGACCAAACGAGTTGTAAAGCCTCAAAAAACCCTGCTCTCTAGCTAAAGTACCAAGAAATGTGCAGCTGAGCAAGATGGAAAACACTTAGATAATAAATGCTCTACACCAGGCAAATACTAAAGAAAACACTGTGGCCTCTCCCCTACCACACCAGCAAAGGGAGCCTAGATTCCAACTTTACTGAGCTGTAATAAGCACTTCAATGCCCACACCTTGCCAGGATATATCAAAAAATCTGATGAGGGATCTAGGACTTTCCTCTCTGCCTGGTGATAATGACCTTACCAGAGTTTAGTGTCAGATCCATGTCAGATCACATGGGGAGCCTCTACTTCCACTCTGATGCAGCAATAACAAGGCATCCCTCCTTCACCCTGCTGGAATGATGTCCAAGAAGTCTAGTGGGGAATCCAACTTTCACCAACACCTAGCATTAGCAAAGTGGCCCGTCAACATGGTGTTAGTGGAGGCCACATGGGTAACAATAAGGAGGCTTTCCCACCCTTCCTGGGCATAAGCCCCCCTTTTTTTCTCCCTTCTGAAGCAGGATGTCAGAAAAAGTATGCTAAAATGGAAGATTTGAGTAATATTCAGTCTCAGAATACTTAAAATGTCCAGATTTCAATAAAAAAATCACTCATCATACCAAAAACAAGGAAAATCTCAAACTACATGAAAAAGATGATAAAATAGATGCTGGTGCCAGGATGACAGAGATGGTAGAGTTATCTGACAAAGATTTTATTTTTTTAATTTTATTTTTAAGTAATCACTACACCCAATGTGGGCCTTGAACTCATGACCCTGAGATCAGGAGTTGCATGCTTCCTACTGAGCCAGCCAGGTGCTTGATCTCAGGGTCATGGGTTCAAGCCCCACATTGGGTGTAGAGATTACTTAAATAAATAAAACTTAAAAAAAAAAAAAACCTATCTTAAAAAATTTTCAATGAGCAATTATAAACACACTTCAAGCAAATAAAAAAAAAGGGTCCCAGTAAAGAAATAGAAGATGTAAAGAAGAATCAAATGGAAATGATAGAACTGAAAAATGCAATAACCAAAATTAAAAACACAGAAGATGGACTCAACAACAGAAGAAAGGGGACAGAGGAAAGGAGCAGTTAACTGGAAGATATAATAGAAATTATCCAGTCTGAACAATGGAGAGAAATAGAGCAAAAATAAATGAACAGAGTTTTAAGAACATATGGGACTGTAACAAAAGATCTAACATGTCATTCCAGAAGGAGAAAGAGGGCGGAGGGCAGAGCTGAAAAAAGTACTTGAAGAAATGATGGTTGAAATTTTCTCAAATTTGTCAAAAGGCATAAACAGATTCAAGAAATTAAATGAATGTCAAGCACAAAAAAACTCAAAGAAATTCACATAGAGACACATCATAGTCAACCCTATGAAAACTACAGAGAAAGAAAAGATCTTGAAGGCAAGCAAGAAATGAACCTTTGCTATAAGGTTCGAATAAGAGAGTATTTCTCATCAGAAACTATGGGGGCCAAAATGAAGAGGAATGATATTTTTCAAGTGCTCAAAATAAAGAATTAACAACCTAGAATGTCATATCCAGTGAAAATATCCTCAGGAATGAAGGGGAAATCAAGACTTTCTAAAGCTTTTTTTATTTTATTTTATTTATTTATTTTTGAGAGAGAGAGCAAGCACAAGCAGGGAGGGGCAGAGGGAAAAGCAGACTCCCCACTGAGCAGAAGCCCAATGCAGTACTCAATCTAGGACCTTGGGATCATGACCTTGTCCAAAGGCAGACGCTTAACTGACTGAGCCACCCAGGTGCCCCAAGAAATTCTAACATGAAGGAAGATTAAGATAATTTGTCACCAGCAGACCTACCCTAAAAAAAAATAGCTCAAGGAAGTTCTCTAAATGGAAAATTTAATAAAGAAATAATAATAAATAATAATTAGGAAAATAATAAAGAAATTATTATGGAAGAAATACAGAAAAAGCAAAAGTATGGGCAAATAAAATGGACTTCTCTCTGTCTTCTTAATTATATTTGATGGCTGAAGCAAAAATTATAACTCTGTGGTTCTAAATATATAGAGAAGAAAATTTTAAGATCACTATTTTACAAATGCAGGAAGGTAAAGGTACATAAAGTTTCTATATGTCATTCAAGCTATTTAAATAAGACATTGGTAGACTGTGATGTTTTATATACGTGTGTGTAGAGTAACCACTAAAAGAGCTATAAAAAGAAATACATGCAGAAACGTTACAGATTAACCAAAATGGAATTCCAAAATATTTTCTACCTGCAAAAGGCAGGGAAAGGAAAACAAAGAAATGGAAAACATAGAAAAAAACAGAAAATGAAATAGGTACTTAAGTCCAAACATATCAATAATCGTGTTAAATGTAAGTTGTTTAAATACAGTAATTAAAAGACAGAGATTGCCCCCCTACATACATACATACAGAATTATCTGTTCTGAAATATCAATAGTGCCAAGATTGAGAAATCCTAAACTGGAGTCTAGTTAAGTCTAGACTCTAGACTTTCAACAAATTCGTGTTTTCTACTGCACATTACACTGCTGCTTTCTAGGGAACCTGGTGCTGGTTCCTGAGCCTTCCTGAAGTTCTGCAGCTCCCAGCCACCTGACCAAGCAGTTAATAGAGGGAAGGAAGCTGAAATATAAGTTAGTTATAGTTCATTTACCCCTTTTCACCTTCCAAACTTTTGTTGATAGCTTTTGTTATTTCCTTTCCCTTTGTCTTTGAGAATTTATCCTTTTATTCTCATTTTAATGGGGTCACAGAGAAAGGGAAATATTTATACAAGTGCTCAGAAGTCCCTGTTTTATCAGAAGTCCCTACACTTTTTCTTGCAAATGAAATTAATTTATCTAAAAAAAAAATCCTATTTGATTGTCATCTTGGTGAACTTTATAACCCTGGAATGGTGAAGATTTTCTAACAAAGATTCAAAGTCCAGAAGCTATGAAAGCAGAAGTTGATGAATATGCCTACTTAAAAACTCATGAATGGTACACACAGACAAAAAAGACTATGTATTAAGAATTTTTTTAAAGAGTTTGCAGGGGCTGGGGAACCTGGGTGGCTCAGTCCATTGGGTATCTGCCTTCAGCTCAGGTCATGGTCTCAGGGTCCTGGGATCAAGCTCTGAGTTGGGCTCCCTGCTCAGTGGGGAGTCTGCTTCTCCCTCTCCCTCTCCCCCCGCCCCCACCCAACTCATGTGCCCTCCCTCTCTCTCAAATAAATAAATAAATATATAAATAAAATCTTTTTAAAAATTAATAAAAATAAAAGGTGAGGGGACTATGTAAAAACCTACATTTCAATATGGCAACTTTTGGAAGGCAACCTGGCAATATGTACCAAAATCTAAAATGTTATACTTATTGACCCAACAAGCCACCTCTACAAACTTATCCTTGAGAATACAGTATTAACAGTTTGCCAAACTGTATATATAAAAAGAACTTCTATTAAAGAAATGTTCATAATAGCAAAAGTGTGGAAACAACCCAAGTGCCCATCAATAGGCAAAAAATGCAATAAATTATGACATATCAACATGATTCAGTATGACAGTCAACCACAGAAAGAATGAGATAAATCACTATGTACTGACAGTGAATATATCTTTGACATATTTTTGGAGGGGAAGAAGTGGGGGGAAAAGATATGTTTATATGATCCCTATGGATACATTTTGATTATGTATCTCTTTACATATACTTAAACATTATACCACCATATATTTTCCATTTATGTATGTCTATATAATTCCTAAAATATTTTCTGTTTCTCTAACACCAAAACTCTTCACCTTGGATGGGAGACTTAGGCAGATAGGGGAAGAGATCACCCAGCTGAAGCCATATCTTCATTTTTTAACCTTCTACCACTTGAATTTTATAACCTAGTACTTTTTTTTTAATGTTAACAGAGGGTACTTGAGCTGTGGGATTGTTAGCATATTTTCTCTTCTTCACATTCTTCTGCTTTTTAAAAACTAATAGACACTAATATTAAGAGAAAAATATTAACCATCCACAAAACTAACTCTGTTACTTATTCTGTTCATTCTAGGTTTCCAAAGTAACCAGTCATATAGCCTCTCTCCTGGCTATATCATTGATAAGGCTTTTGACTACATAATTAGTTTACTTAAGTGAAATTGTTCACTGTGGCAGCTCAAGATTCCAGGTCAACGCTCCAGACACAGAGGAATTTGATGCCTGGTTATTATTAGAGTTTTATGGCTTTCACTGGATCAGCCCATAGTTTGGATCCTTAGTATATTACATCTGTTTAAATTTCACATTTTATGAAGAAATCAAACACACTTTCATAAGGACCTATATTGATCTATTGAGTTCTCCCAAGATTGCATTTGTAAATTATCTATCTTATCTTATCCTTACCTCCTTAGAAATTTACGGATATCCAAAAATGATTGAGATTGAACAGGCAGAGGCCCAGCTCTCTGAGTTAGACCTGCTAGCCAGTATGTTCCCTGGTGAGAACGAGTTCATTGTGAATGACCAGCTGGCTTTAGCAGAACTGAAAGATTGTATTGAAAAGAGGACGATGGAGGGACGATCTTCTAAAGTTTACTTTACTATCAATGTGAACCTGGATGTATCTGAGGAAGCAATGGTAATTCAGTTTGCTTTTTGAAGAACTGAAAGCCTGTCAAGAATTAAAACACCACTTAGGGCATTTTCTTCTTTTTTTTTTAATCAGGTGATGTTTTCTCTGGCTTGTATTCTTCCCTTTAAATACCCTGAAGTTCTGCCTGAAATTACTGTCAGGTATGTTACAGAAATTGGCCAACATCAAAGGTTAAAATTAACCTGAGAATAAAAGCAGTGCTTAAGTTTGTTTTCTGTCCAAAAAAAATGATTTAATTTTTATACTCCATATCTTTTTCATCAGATCAGTATCACTAAGTAGATCCCAGCAGACTCAGCTAAACACAGATCTGACCGGATACCTGCAAAAGAATTGTCTCGGAGATGTCTGTATATTGAATGCCACAGAGTGGGTTAGAGAACATGCTTCTGGCTATATCAGCAGAGACACCACACCTTCCCCTGCTCCAGGAAGTACATTCCAGCCAGTTGATCTCATTCTCACAAGACTGTGGATCTATAGCCATCACATCTACAACAAGTGTAAAAGAAAGAATATTCTAGAGTGGGCAAAGGAACTTTCCCTATCTGGATTTAGCATGCCGGGGAAACCTGGTGTTGTTTGTGTGGAAGGCCCACAAAGTGCCTGTGAAGAATTCTGGTCAAGGTTTGCTTTCACAAATGTTGTATACTGTGTCAATAATTTTAGTAGTAAAGAAGATACTAAAGATGTGGAAATTAGTATGTCCCTGGGGTTGTACCTTATAGGGATTCAGTCTCAAGTCAATGGATAAAACAGAACTCACATATGATCAGCATTACCCCCTTCCCTGACATGGTGCACATAGATGTTCTGTGTATAGCTGTTTAATTGAGCCCCTGTCCAAGATGTTATGATCCCCTCCATTTCCATGGATCGGATTCTTAGTGATGTGATAAGCTGTGCATATCCTGTGAAACAAACAGGTTTCTAATCTTCTCATTTCTGTACTGACATCCTGAATGAGTTTCTAAGAAGTCCCTTTGGGAGTCTGAGATACAGCAATGTCCACATTTCTAAATGTTGATATGAGGCAGTAGCAATAAATGAGTTTGGGGATAGGATCATGACCACCATCATATTGAATTAAAATAAATCCCTGTGAGATAAAAGTAAATTTCTTTACTTCTGGGAAAAGGCGTTGAAAAGTCTGTTTTATAACTTCTATTTTCAATGCTCTAGAAACAAAACACATTTTCAATATGTCTACTTTGAAAATTTCTTTTCAGACTCAGAAAATTAAACTGGAAGAGAATTTTAATTCGCCATCGAGAAGACATTCCTTTTGATGGTACAAATGACAAAATAGAAAGACAAAGAAAATTTTCAGGTTTTGAAGAAAAAGTGTTCAATGTTAATGGAGCCAGAGGAAACCACATGGACTTTGGTCAGCTGTATCAGTTTTTAAATGCCAAAGGATGTGCGGATGTTTTCCAGATGTTCTTTGGTGTGGAAGGACAGTGACTGGGCAAAGGAGTATTGAAAGTATTTTGTCACTGTTGGCCTTTTGATTTTTCCCCCAATCTTTCTTGAAAGATGAAGTAATTTGGGGCACCTGGGCGCTTAGTCGGTTAAGCGTCTGACTTTGGCTCCAGTCATGATCTCCAGGTCCTGGGATGGGGCACTGCTGTCAGGCTTCCACTCTCTCTGCCCCTCCCCCAACTCATGTGCTCTCTTTCAATCTCTCCCTCTCAAATGAATAAATAAAATCTTTTAAAAATAAATAAATTTAAAAAATAAAAATGGATTTAAGATATCAAAAGAGAGAAGAACAAGTTAGATGGTCCTGCCTGCACTGTATAATGTAAAAGACACAATAAAAGCTATAAGAGGGGAGGGGCGCCTGGGTGGCTCAGTCATTAAGCATCTGCCTTCCTCTCAGGTCCTGGGATCAAGCCCCACATCGGCTCCGTGGGAAAACTGCCTCTCTCTCTCCCACTCCCCCTGCTTGTGTTCCCTCTCTCACTATGTCTCTGTCTGTCAAATAAATAAAATCTTAAAAAAAAAAAAAAAGCTATAAGAGGGGAGCCTGAGTGGCTCAGTCTGTTAAGTGTCCAACTCTTGATTGTGGCTCAGGTCATGGTCCCACAGTGGTGGGATCCGGTCTCAGTTGGGCTCTGAGCTTGGCAGCGAGTCTGCTTGGGATTCCCTCTCTCCCTCTCCATCTGTCCCTCCTCTCTCACTCAAATAAATAAATCTAAACAAAAAAAAAAACTGTAAGAAACTGTAGTTAAGGGCACCTGGGTGGCTCAGTCCATTAAGCATCTGCCTTCAGCTCAGGTCATGATCCCAAGGTCCTGGGATCAAGCCCCACATCTCCCGCTGCCCACCCCCCCCAACCAGCTTGTGCTCTCTCTCGCTCACTCTCAAATAAATAAAATGTTTTAAAAAAGGAAAAGAAACTGTAGTTAAATGTTAGGAAACATAGCTTTCTTAGATTATTACCAATGATTACATATTTTATATATAAACATCCCTATTAGGTAAAATTGACCAGTATGATTGCACATACATTTAATCCACAATGACAATCTGTCAGTGTATTAATTTGATATATATCTTGAACTGGAATCATCTACAAAGAAATAATAAATTCTGAAAAGAAACTATGAGTCCCAAATCAAACTATGGTTAAAAATTAAGAGGATTATTAGAAAACAAAAGTGTGGGCAGGAAATAGTGGCCATATGTCCACTTTTATTTGTAAAAGTAATTCCTGTACAAACTTTTTTTTAAGATTTTATTTATTTGAGAGAGAGAGAGAGAGCACCAGCGGGGGGGAGGGGCAGAGGGAGAGGAAGAGGCCGAGCCCAATGTAAGACTCCAGGATCATGACCTGAGTCAAAGGCAGATGCTTAACGGACTGAGCCACCCAGGTGCCCCAAACAATTATTAAGTAAAAATTTTTAAAATATTGTAAATTGTAAAATTAATCCCATAAATCCAAATTAGTTGAACTTGGACTAACAAAGTCAAAAGCCACTGTTGTCATTTGCACATTAATTTGATAAACTGAATTTTTTTTTAAAAGATTTTATTTATTTATTTGAGAGAGAGAGAATGAGAGAGAGCACATGAGAGGGGGGAGGGTCAGAGGGAGAAGCAGACTCCCTGCCGAGCAGGGAGCTCGATGCGGGACTCGATCCCGGGACTCCAGGATCATGACCTGAGCCGAAGGCAGTCGCCTAACCAACTGAGCCACCCAGGCGCCCCGATAAACTGAATTTTAAAACAAAATTACATCTGCTATGCAAAACTGATGATCACTTTGAGCACTAATATAAAAACTTAGCTTTTTTTTTTTAGAAAGCTATATAATAAGATATTAGAGAAACCCAACAGAATATGTCGTTTGTGGACCTCCATAAAGACTGCAAGGCAGCTACGAGTTTATGGCATTTAAGGACTGATGCACTTGGTGCTTCCCAGTCACCTACCCCCTGCCACCATTACAACTATTTAGAACCATCTGAGCCCATAAAAATTCCGCAAAGGGGCACTGTGAGCCTTCCGGTTAAACACAATTTAGCAATCTGCTCCCATCAGGACTGGGGAGGGATGTGGGCCTTAAAATCTTTTGCCATCGCCCCCCCCCCCCCCCCAATATCAAAGGCAGAACCCTTCAAGGAGCAGAGCAGATTCCAGCTCAGCATGAAAGGGAGTGACTGGCTACCTGCTGACACTCGGCTCCCCAGAGGCTTTCAAGCGCTCCGGGGCTTTGACTGACACTTTGGCCTTCCCCAGCCCCCGCAGCTTGAGCGCACGCGAGGGCTCGCACCGGGCGCAGCTGGGAGGGCCCTAACGAGGCTTTAGCGCAGGTGCCGCACCTTCACCGACTTGCCCTGGAACTACTAGCCCGGGTTGGGGGCGTTGTGAATGTGGGAGCAGGTGGGCAGAGGCTTTTGACGCGGGGCTCTAGCCCTAGACTGCGGACTTGCCCTTCAAGTAGGGATCTCTCAGCTGGACGGGTGCGGCTGTGCTGCCAGATCGCCTTTTTCTTTTTTTTTTTTAACCGCTCATTATCTTTTGGGGAAAAGGCTTCGATATGCATTCTTTTGGGATTTCCCAGATGCTGCTATAGCGGGAGAATTGGTGGAATTCTGCTCCCTGAAATTCTGGTGGTGCAGTCCAGGACCGCCGTGTCTCCAGATTTTAACCAGGGAATTATCTAAGTGGAGGCTAATTTTTTCCTTCCAGGGGCATTTGGCGTTTTGGATTTTGTGAATCTCTTCTTTCTCCCCCAGCCCCCCGCCCCCATGTATGTAATACATTTTTTATTAGAAAAGATGATTATTATAGGAAATGTAGAACTAACTGGATTTAAAATCTACCCACAAATCCGCCCCTAAGAAGATAATACTAAATTTTGGTTTTACGTTTTATTTTCTAGTATATTATTTTTACTTATGGGTATATGTGATATTAAGTGATATGTGATATTCAGTTGAATGAATGCAGCATTTTAGTTAGTTCTGGAAATTCTTACCTACTTCAGTTTTGTTATTAAAGATATCAAGTACCTGTATTTGTCCTAAGAGTCCTTTTTATGAATCTCCTTGAAGATTAAACACGTTCACAAGAGGATAAGAACAAAACTATAAATGACAAAAGACTCAAAAATAGACATGGTTAAAGATCTGATGACAGCTCATTATAATGTACCTGACAAGGAAATCTGGTTATTTCTGTGACACATAACACCTCAATAATCAGAATATTGAGTGATGACCTTATACCAGAAGGTAACATACCAAATAAACATGCCTAATTGGTCAGAGACGTCATTTATGATTTAAATCTTGGGGAAGTTTGTTAAAACCTTAGAAAGTTTTAAAGCACTTGCCTATATAGGATTACAGATCGTTAAAGACCTGATAAAGACAAAACATAGACACTGGTTTTCCAGGCAGACAAAAGAAAAAAACCCTTTGTTTACATTTTTTTATCAAAAGCAGACCAACAATCTAAGAAAATTTAGTGTTTTTTTTTTTTTAAAGATTTTATTTATTTATTCATGAGAGACAGAGAGAGAGAGAGAGAGAGAGAAGCAGAGGGAGAAGCAGGCTCCCAAGGAACAGGGAGCCCGATGCGGGACTCAATCCCGGGACCCCGGGATCACGACCTGAGCCGAAGGCAGACGCTCAACCATCTGAGCCACCCAGGCGCCCGAAAATTTAGTGTTTTTAAGAGAAAGAAAGCACGGGGCGCCTGGGTGGCTCAGTCGTTAAGCGTCTGCCTTCGGCTCAGGTCATGATCTCAGGGGTCCTGGGATCGAGCCCTGCATCTGGCTCCTTGCTCAGTAGAGAGCCTGCTTCTCCCTTTCCCTCTGCCTTCCTGCCATTCCCACTGCTTGTGCTCCCTCTCACTATCTCTTTCTCTGTGTCAAATAAATAAAATCTTTTAAATAAATAAATACATAATACATACATACATAAAATCCATTCACTTCGGCTTTAGTCCACCCTGATGGCATATAAAATTCCTTTACAAAGATTTCCTTTCACAAACCTACAACTTTCTTTTGCATTCAGATTTTGTCTCAAGCCATTTTTCACCAAACAACCGGTATCATTTCAAGACAAAATTTCTTTCTTTTGCCTTCAACAAAAATGTATTTCCATTCATTATATCTTTTATTAAGATTGATTTTATTTATTTATTTATTTATTTATTTACTAGAGAGAGAGAGAAAGAGAGCGTATGAGTGGGGAGAGAGGTAGAGGAGTAGGGAGAAGCAGACTTCCTGCTGAGCAGGGAGCCTGACATGGGGTTCAATCCCAAGACCCTGAGATCATGACCTAAGCTGAAAGCAGACACTTGACTGACCGAGCCACCCAGACACCCCCTTATATCTTTCTTATATATCTCCTACTTTCCTACATGTAGAGTTGCTTCCCTTATTTTCATCAGTTTTAATTACATTTAGCAGAATTTTAACTCTTAGAAAACTTAGTCTCTTAGTGAAAACTAAGTAGTAACCAATTGTGAACTGTTACACCAGAATTCTTTCAATGGCAAATTTATGAATCAATTAAGCACAAAGCATGCTTACCAACAAACTCAACTATCCTTAGTTTCTCCGCAATAAGAAGCCAACAAACCTACATTCACTAATCAATGCTTTAGTACTCCTTTCTATTTGGAAAAAACCTAGATATCTGATGAATTCAATCCCAAACATCATCCCAAGCAAAACTTTAAAGATTTAGGCTACCAAAGACTATCTTAACAATTACCCATGAAAACCTTGAGATGGACAAAATTAACCATCATTTTAAGTCATCTTTTTGCTGACAAATTGCAACAGAGATAACACAAGCTTATTTGACCTTTAGTAAACCTTGGTAGAATAAAAAGTTTCATATTTAATGCTGAGAACTCTAAAGACATGTCTATCTTAATTAAACCAACCAACTTAAATTAGTTTAAATAATGAATTATGTTCCACGTGGGTCCCCTTAAGAGTCAATCAATTTGTTTCCCATCGTTAATTTTTGCCTGGGGCACCAGTGTGGAAATCTGAAGTGGGCAGAGTTAGGTCCAACAGGGTGCTCTTTGCTCCTTGACAGCAAGGATAGGAGGAGGAGCCAATGGTGCCAGAGGCACTGAGGATGATATAGGAGACAGTTATGCAGGCTGCACCGAAGGTGGTGCAGAAACAGGAGGGGGGGAGGGGAAGGCAGAAGAGGTGAGGCGCTACCAGGAAGGCTGGAGGCAGATAAGAGTCCAGAGGGCAGAGAAAGAGGTCTCTTGGTCTTAAAGCTCATCCACTTGACAGATGAAAAGACAGGTTGAAATGATGGCTGAAACCAAGTTTGCACTGCAGTTCAGAGTTTAGATGAGAAGATTCAGCCCCACATTGGACACCAAAATGATGTGGTTTGAAGTGGTGGGGTTCAGAGCCCATGGTCAAGAAAGAATTCTTGAGACACCTTTGGTGCAAAATGGTGGCTTTATTAAAGCACAGGGACAGGACCTGTTGGGCAGAAAGAGCTGCTGTCCTGGGGTTGTGAGGAGTGATGGATTATATAAGATTTTCTATCCTATGGAGGGGAGGGTGATGTTAGGGCTCCAGGAAATTGAGTCTATAGGTTCCTGGAGATTGCTTTTTTTCTTGTAAATCATTAAGACAGTTGCAAACTAATGGAGACTCATGTCCTACATGATTGTGATCTCTATCAGTTAACCACTTGTTTTTTCCTTTCCTTTGTTCTTAGGCAGCCAGGAGTGCCTGAGGAATGTCACACATATACCCCAGGGTGGGGGGAGGGGGTTGCAATTTTTGTGCTGCAGTCTTACGCTTTGCCTTCAACTTGCCTTTTGCTCCCTAATCAATGAGATCGTAACCTTTTTCGGTTTTTGTTTTGTTCTGTTTTCGGTTTTGTTTTCCAATCATCAAAGCTACTGTGAGCATCCATTATGTGTCTTCATGTTAGATTTCCAAAAGTGGAAATTCACTCTCAAGCCCTGGATTTCTCTTGTCAAATTGCACTTATGAAAGGTTAAGAAATAAAAATTGCAATTCTGAAAATTCCTTTTCTCTAGATTTTAATCACCATTATTATTATTTTGTCTTTTTTTTAGATGAAAAACCTACATTTTATGTTATCTTCATTTGACTTTTAGAGTGGGTCAATTATATTTCCTTTGTGGTAAATGCCTATTTATGCTTTACTTATTTTTACTTAAATGGGCAGCCTTAAAATATTTATTTGTAAGCATTTTTTTAACAATAAGCACATTGGCCCCTAGGTAATGTTGCAGATTTTCCCATTTGTCTATTTGTTTTTTCTGACATAGGGAAAAAAATTTTTAATTTAATGTATTTAAATCGATCAATAGTTTTCTTTATGGTTTTCTTTTTTTGGAGTATCAACTGGGAAGGCTTTCTGTTGGTTCAAAACCTTGGGAGCTTCCCAGGTGTAATCTGAGAGGCCACACCTCCCCCCTCCACTGGGAGGGCAGGGAGGGAAGGAAGAGGCATGCCGCCACTCCAGAGTACTAGGTGGCATGTGGTTTTTGTTTGTTTTGCTTTGTTTTATTTTACAGGAGACTCATAGGGGAAAATAAAGATGCTTTTGAAACAAGGGGTTTTTAGCCTTAGCCTTAAGCTGTTTCCTCTTAGAGTTGAAATATGCCAGGAGTCTTTGTTATTCTGTAGTAAGAAAAGAAGAAATCCTTTCCTCCTAAAATCTTATAAAGGTCCTTCTGTTCAGTCCAATTTGCCAACCTAGGTCACTTACCCATCCATGGACCAAGTTGACTTCCCAACTTCTGTGTTTTGGACTGACTGGATGCTTTGTCCTGAAACTAAAAATGAATTTCTCTCTTCTAGAATCATGTGTAGGTGTATACCTGAACAAAATTTGTCCATTAAGTGGCAAAACCAAAGGGAGTCATCTTTGGTGGAAATGTGTTTATTGTGCAACTTAAGAATACTCTAATCTTTTTGAATATTTGCCTTTTGATCTCAAAAACTTGAATTTTTGTCACTTCGGGGAGGTAGTCATATTTCTTTGTTGCCTTTTTAAGCCATGTTATGGTAATTTGGAATACATTTTCAACAACTTTCTATTAAAGAATGATAATATATTTTAAGCAGAATAACAGAAAAAATAAGCTTTATTTTTTAAAGTGAGTCCAGAAAGAAGATGCCGGGGCACCTGGGTGGCTCAGTCGGTTAGGCATCTGCCTTCAGCTTGAGTCATGATCTCAGGGTCCTGGGGTCGAGCCCCGAATCAGGCTCCTTGCTCAGCGGGGAACCTGCTTCTCCCTCTCCCTCTGGCTGCCGCTCCCCCTGATTGTGCTCTCTCTCTCTCTGTCAAATAAATAAATAAAACATTTTTTAAAAATTTACTTAGTATCTGTACCTCTGAAACAAATAATGCAATATATGTTAAGAAAAAAAAAAGAAGAAGAAGGTAGCAGGAGGGGAAAAATGAAGCGGGGGAAATGGGAGGGGTAGACGAACCATGAGAGACTATGGACTCTGAAAAACAAACAGGGTTCTAGAGGGGAGGGGGGTGGGAGGATGGGTTAGCCTGGTGGTGGGTATTGAGGAGGGCACATTCAGCATGGAGCACTGGGTGTTATGCACAAACAATGAATCATGGAACACTTCATCTAAAACTAATGATGTAATGTATGGGGATTAACATAAGAATAAATACATAAATAAATAAATAAATATAAAAGGTAAAAAAAAAATTTACTTAGTATGAATTTTATTGTGTGTGTTGGCCATGAAGATAATGCAAGCAGAATAAATCCACTATTCAGCATTACAAAATGTAAGATCAAAGACCAATAATCAAGAAAGTCTGCTATCTAAAATTCATTAATTGTGGGCGCCTGGGTGGCTCAGTTGGTTAAGCGACTGCCTTCGGCTCAGGTCATGATCCTGGAGTCTCGGGATCGAGTCCCGCATCGGGCTCCCTGCTCGGCAGGGAGTCTGCTTCTCCCTCTGACCCTCCCCCTCTCATGCTCTCTCTATCTCATTCTCTCTCTCAAATAAATAAATAAAATCTTTAAAAAAAAAAAAAACCCACTTTCTAAAAAAAAAAAAAACATAAAATTCATTAATTGTATGATCAGAATGTTTAATAAATCTGACCCAGATAAACAAATAATTGGGATATACAATACCAAAATATCATATTCTTAACTTTTTAATGCATTTACTTAGGCTTAATAGAAATATACCCAGGGTTTTATCATCTTTCTAGATTTTAATAATTTTTTTTTCAAATATTCATCCACCGTTAGGCCTTTTAGTATTATAAACAGTCTTAGAAGACATGCAGCTTTCTCCTATTAGCCCCATCTTACTTCCATACCAGGTATTGTGACATACTAATTACCTTATAGCTTGAGATGTTGACCCCTGGGAGGTGACAGTTTTAATAAACAAAGGGAACTTACATAGGAGGCTTTCTTGGGTGGCAGCAAGATGAATGAATCCCCACACCAGCCCACCAAATCTTAAAAGTTTATATAAAGAGGTTTTAACTAGGTT